TGTTATGTTTTGTGATTTTATTTTTAACCAAAAAAAAAAATTAAATACGTTTAATATATAATAAAAACCTAAACGGGAAACAATACAAGATGAAACAAAATTACATACAAATTTTAACCTCACAAAGTACTCTGTATTGTTTAAGTCTTTTGGGCCAAGTGTGAATGGAAGTACATATTTTAGCTATGGGATTTTATTTTTATTTTTAACATCTGAATTTTATTCATCTCAAAACAACATGAAACAAAGCATCAAGATCATAATAAAAACAGAATGAAAGATGTTATAATTAACGGGTTTATTTTAAGTCCTAACAATTAAAAACAAAAATTAATGTAGGACTAAATTCATAAACCAAAATGTAAGTTAGTAAATCTTATATCTAATAATTCATAAAGAAAACTATATATAGCGTCATAGGTGGTGCATAAGTTCTCCTCTCATGATTGCTTATCCAAGTAGTGTTTATTGGTCGCCCAATTTATACGGTTTCCCAATTTTTACGGTGTTAGTGTGTTTTCGTGTGACTATCCATATTCAAATCCTGATATAATGCATTTTTTTTTAAATCGTCTATATAATGCATATTATGATTAAAAAAAAATACTAATCTCCAGGATAGTGTTCGTAGTTTTGATACAAACCTAAGTCTGGCTAAGTTCGTTATTTGCTTATGAGTGCCTAATTGTCTATATATTTGTCACTAAAGCTGGTTTATCTGCGAAATATTCATATACATGGTCACTTACCAATTTCATCTATTTTTCTTTTAATTAAGAATTGTAAAAAAAAAACAAACCACCATTAAATTAGTGACTATGAACATCATCTTTAATTTGGCGACAACGACAATTGGTACTGATTTTTCAAGAAGTACAAATATATATCTACTTTGTCACTAAAAGATTATTGAAGACAGAGATATTTTAATTTTTATCAGTTTATTTGTCTAATATGTATTTAATTTCTATAGCTAATAATCTGTTAATGTTTGTATTCTTTTCATGAATAGTTGTGTGTGTAAAAAAGTTTTGAAAAATATATGGTTATCTACATTTATCATCAATGTATTCTTGAGTTTTTAGGGTTCTCTTGAAATAAATATAGAATTAATCATGTTTAACAAAATAACTTTTTGATAAAAACTTAGTAGAAGGCATTCTATAATTTTGCCAATATATAATTTTACTTAAACAATACCACTCAATATATTTGAGAGTTGTCATGTTTTTGCGTCCATAAAATAGTATAACAATTCTGCATGTTTTTTTTTTTAATGTTAACCTCTAACAATCAAATTCGCCGGAGTTT